ATTACAACCCCCGCGACTTGGACGCAGTTGAAGGAGCAACTGTAAGTAGACGGTCTGAACAGCACCCTCCACTACGTGCTGAACTCTGAAGCAGGCTGCGAGGCGAAATGGGTCCTTTCATGGGGGAAAAACTAGTTCCTACCCGCCATCAACATCGAAAATAGTCACCCACGAACACAACGATTAAGGTCGAGGCAGGATCGCCCTAGCGGCGGGCTAAAAATCAGTACTACCGGAAATATATACACCCCATATCCCGCAGATGGGGAGGGCGTGGTCGATCGTTTCATTGGACTAAAGCGAGGATTCGATCTTCATAAGACATATCTGCTTGAAAAATTAGCAACCTGTCCTGCCGGGAGAAAAGACTGTAAATGCCCTAAAACAGCTAACAAAAGCCAAGTGGCCGCTACGTTCAAATGAAGCGCAAGCCACGCCCACTCCATATTTGGGATACGGAGTGTGAATGATTGAAGAAAAATCTAAGAAAATGCTAATTTTGAAAGGAAAAACTTCAGAAGCGCAGGAAATAAAGGCTACACGACCACAAAAAACACGTCCGAAATGGCCTGGGGAGGCAACCAAACCCAGGAACGAATGCATAGTGAAGAGAGCATAAATAGACCACACGTACCGATAACGCCTCCTCGTTTCTTCGCTTGTGAACCAACGAAAAATACGCGGACATAATTGAATATTTCACTCTGTTCATACGGTAACAATTTTGTGCCGAACGTCTGGATTGCATCTTCCGGTCGAAAACCCTGAATAATCTAAAGATACTTATAATTACAATTTGAACAGCTTATATCAAGAGAAGACTTCACAAAAGCAGTTTTCTACTCAGCGCTTTGGTCCTACAAGATCGTACTTATCGCTGCCCCCACTGGTACCATTTACTATTCAGCGGCATTTAGCAGCGCCTACAAAGACCTTTTAACCAGTCGGTGCCAGTTACCAAGGTCCAGGCGGTAACGCTCTTCCCGAACAAAGGGCTGTACATCCGTTTCCACTTAATTTTCGTAATTTGTAGTAAAGAATTGAGTACCGCTATAGGACTCGCTTTCACTTAGGGAAAAAAATGGTAGATGCAAAAAAATTGAAACAAAAATCAACCATACTCAACAAATACTGTCAGCCGAATAAGTAGCAACCACTGGTCATTCTACATCCCCATTCTATACCACAGAAAAACTCATGATGCAATAAGAATCAGCAATGGCACTACCTAAGATCAACTACCACTGATGCGCGCGGTTGCGTCGCGTCCAAAATACCTGCACGCTTCACGACCGCTCGCGCCGAAGATGGACACATCACACAATCTTTCAGTCTCACAGAAATGATGCCAGTTGAACTGCATATAACCACCCTACGATATTAAAATATAATGGTTTTCCCCACTCCAAAACCAGGAAAATTTGCCTACAAGCAACTAGGAATCATAGTTTCTCTACAAAAAAAGTCGCGTCGTAATACCCCTAATGATCAGTCATTGATCCAATTTATCCTTTCTAGGAACCCCTTTATCAATGAAGTGTGCGATATGTGTATCACCGCTGCGCGCGGTCACGAAGCAGTTGTTCCTCTACAGTTTTCGTAACCCATCTACCCTCCATAAAGGAGGTATGCGGGCTGAATCACCGGTTGCTAAGAACGGCGCTGTCGTTAAATAAGAAAAAGAAGTGTGACTCATCGGATGCAGCCACAGGCCTCCCAAAATTGCCAAATGAAGTAAAAAAACGCTCCAAATCAACAGAATGCCACTGACCTTATTTCCACCACCGGACGAATTGTTCCCGGTACTGTTTGAATTATGACCACCATTACTGCCACCTGATGAGGAAGTATGTGATCTGAAATGATAAAAATTTATGACCATTATACAGCGGGACCTCTTGGCTTTCGCAAAAAGCTATTTTTCCCTATCCCGATTCCTATGCGCAATAAATGCATTGATTTCCAAATAAATTCAGGGTCACGGGATCCTCTTCAGCGATGCACGCGGAACCGACAGACGGGGCCAGAGCGTAAAACCAAACACTCGACCGTCAGATAAACAAAACATTGTGAAGCGGCACTAATCTGACGGAATTATAGAGCAGACCATCGGGGTTATTTACTAGTGGGAAGGAGGAATATTTAGTCTTTGACCAGGAAGCTGTCTGCTCCAACTTGCAAGCGCCATGATTAGGAATTCATGCTAAAAGTCTTGAACTGAAGAAGGAGGGATAGGTCCACGTCTTGAAAGAGTAAATAGACGAGTTTAAGAGCGTGCGGTTGGGCACCCCCGGAACGGGATCCGTCCGAGTAATGATGGCATGGATAAATAATCAACACCCTCAGGTCCATATTGGAGACCTCTATCAGCGAGCCCAATGCGGTTC